GGTCCCATATATATATATCATAATATATATATTATATGTATATATATACATGTAATATCAAGTTACTTAAACTTGCTGAGTCTACCCCAAAATCATAGCTCTTGAGGAAATTAGTCTTATTTTTCTAATTTAGAGTGTGTTGAATCCAGTCCCAGAGAGGACAAGTGACCTCCTCAAGGTCACATAGAAAACAGGATCAGAGGTGAAAACAATATTGTCTATTGCCTTTCTGTGTTTCAAATAATGGGGAGTTTGTATGTCTCCCCAGGAGTGTGAGAGGGGAGCTTTTGAGCCAGGAAAGAAGGCAAGTTTGTGGGTATTGGGCCATTTCATGAAGTGGGACATCTTATATATAAGGTGGCATCTTCAAGGCTAGCAAGGGCAAAAAGATGGCCAGAAGCGGTGCAGGGCAAACAGAGAGAGAGTTTTGGGGATTTGGAGTGGGATTTTGGGTCCAGATGGGGCTGATGGAGAGGAAGGCCCGAGGCGATGTCCTGGTTCCTGTTTCGGGGTCTGTTAGAATACTGCTGTTAAGTCAGAGGCTTGAGGAGTGATGCTCTGTAAAGAGGTCATGATCTAATTCCATTTCTTGCCCTCAGGAGTTTACTGTCGAGTGTGAAGGGAGAATGGCATTGGCCTGGGTATAATGACAGAGGTACACTCTCAGTACAGATGAAGGGGCTCTGGAAATGCCCTGGAAGGCCTCTTTGAGTTGCTGGAATTTCCATAGTGTTTCCGAGTGGCTATGGGAAAGGACCACACACACTTCTATAGGGCACAAGGAAGGGAAAGGGCTTCCAGCGCAAGGGGGCAGCTTGGGCAGAGGTCTGGAAAGTGGCCTACTAGTGTCTACCTCTCCAGGAATGTTTGCAGGGGAATGCTGAGTTCATCTGGGGACATGCGGAGTTTTGAGTGCTTGAGGGACATCTACTAGCCTGGCTGGCAGGGCTGAGCAGGTCTGGACTTCTGAGGAATGATTTGTCACAGAGAGTCAGGAGCCACCCAAATACAGTTGCTTCTGTGGGGGAATGATAGACTATGGTGGGCGGAGAAAGGCAGAGGGCCAGTGAACTCAGAGGAGGGGCTTTCAGGAGGGAGGGTGCTGCTCAGGGGGCAGGATGGCTACCGGGTGAGGTTGGCAAGGATTTGGGTAGTAGGCACAAGAAAGGAAGCTGAGGTATAACAGTGGTAAGGTTTGGGGACCTAGTGGAAGAGATGGGGCTTTGACCGACAGGCTTTCAGGAGGACAGCCGCTGCGTGCATCTCGCATTGCGGCTGCAGTGTGGTAGATGGGAAGCAGGAGAGATGGGGTGCCCGTTTGGGAATGCAGCCGCGGTTCAATGTGGGACTCCGAAGGCATGAGCCTACGCAGTGATGGAACGGGAAGGTCACCTAAAATGACAGCGTAGATCAGTGAGATTTGCATAGACGAGCTTGGAGCTGGCTGAGCTGACTGTGCAGGGGTCAGGAAGGGAGAAGCAGGTGGCTTGAAAGAGTTCACATGGGTTTGAAGAGCCCGTGGGTGTCTGTCAAGCTTCCCAAAGAGACCAGTGCTGACTTTCAGAACTGAGTGTGTAGGCAGGAATGACCAGAGCCATGAAATCAGCTGGAATTATGCAGCTAGAGCACCATGGGTATGAGAAAAAGGCAGTAACCAGGCATAAGGCTAAAATTTGGATGTGACTTTTTTCTGGGGGGGGTGCTGATGTCCTTGCCTGAGGGGAGCCACAAAGTTTCAGGGGATGCCTCCTTGTCTGGTTGGTACCGTTCAGCTGCTCAGACCTCTCCTAGTTAAAGAAAGGACAACAAGCATATTAGGGAGACACGGGAAACAATCTGGGAGGACATGGTCCTAGGACAAGAAGAAAGGCAGAGAACACCATTGAAGAATTTACGGCTGACGGGACCCTGAAACATGACTACCTGGGAAAGGGAAGCATGCATAGTTCATCACACAATCATGGGTTCATGAAACTAAAAATATCCCTGAAGTGTGGCTTTGGTTGGTAATGCCTGTCCTGCTCCTTAGTAGCTATGTGACCCCAGGCAAGTCTTAAAACCTTGAAACATGTTTTCGCCTCTGCAGACAGATGATCCTGACCAGCCCACAAGCCTGTTGGGAAGGTCGAATAAGGGGCAGGGGGAAGCTGTATGTGAAACTGAACGTGGGCACCCTCCCCATGTACTGCCCAGCCCACCACAAGATCAACATGGCTGGTTAAGGTCAGCTGGGGGCACCAGCGAACAGGGTCTTCCTGGGCCACCCTTCTGGCCAGGGCCAAGCTCTTGCAGACACAAGTTTGGCCTTGTTCCAGTGACTGGGATTACTCACACAGCCACCTGATGCCTTTGTGTTATTATACAAACCTTTGTCGAGTAATCAAATGCCATTTTGTTAGGAGTTCTCCTATTTGATGTTGTGGAAAACCTTGGTTCTGGCTGCCCTGGGGTGAAGTCACATTTTTGCAGTCCTACCAACTGTTTGGAAGCTGTTTCAGTTCAAATGAACAAACAGCACTTAGTTCTGTTGTTTTACTTGTAACACACGTCTGTTGTCCTGCGTTTAAAGATTCGAGTCTTCCTTAAACTGAACTATCTTTTTAATGCTTTCCTTAGGGGGAACCATATCTGAACACGGCCTACGGGCACATGATCTGCTACTGGGATGGCTCTGTTCATTATCTGATGTACCTGGTGATGGTGGCCGCCATCGCATGGGAGTAAGTTAGCTCTCCTGGTGCGTGTGCTGTCTTTGCAACCGATAAGGGGTATGTAAGGAAAACATGTAGGGAGGCGAATGCACACATGTATGCCAGGGCAGGAAAGTTCTATGAGTTGGATAAAGGTCTATTGTCTTTGTCTCACTGTCTTTTTTAACACATCCCTTTGAGTTGTCCTTCTACCTTGGTGGCAGCTCAGCAGAGTGATCCCTTAGGTTTCTGCTGATGTTTTCAAAACAGAACAATCTCTCTTGGGCGTGTTGGTGTACGCCTTTAGTTCCAGCGCTCAGGAGGCGGGGAATGAGGATCTCTGAGTTGTAGGTCAGGATGGTCTACAGAGTGAGTTCCTGGCCCAGGCTACACAGTGAGAACCTGTCTCAACAAATAAACAACCACGTGATATCAACAATAAGCTCTGTGTGTGTGTGTCTGCATGTGCCTGTACTTGTGTGTGACTGTGTGCTCATTTGTTTGTGTGTGTGTGTGTATGTATGCGCCTTACCTGTGTGGAAGTGTGTGCTCATTCATGTAGGCTAGTGTGGAGGTCAGAGGGTGATGTTGGGAGTATTCCTCAATTTCTTATTTTTTTTTATGTGCGTGTGTGTGTGTGTGTGTGTGTGTGTGTGTTCATGTGCACATGTATGCTCTGTGGAGGTATGTAGAGGTCAAAGGACAATTTCTGGGATGGAGGGTGTCTCTTCTCCCACCATGTGGGACCTAACACATGGTGTTAGGAGCCCTAACTTAGGTTGACAGGCTTGGCAGCTCATGTCTTTACCCACTGAACCATCTCACTGGTTCATCCCCTTATTTTCTGAGATAAGGACTCTCTCTCACTGAACCCAGAACTCACTATTTGGCCAGACTGGCTGACGAGCAAGCGCCTGGGTCTCCTTTGTCTCTGTCCTAACCCTGATAACGAAATTATGACCACCACGCTCGGCTTTCCACGCAGGTGCTAGAGATCTGAACCTAGGTTCTCATGCTTGTGCAGGAAGGAAGTGCCCTCCCAATGCCTCAGCGCCTCCATTTTAGGACTCAAAGCCCAGTACGTTTTAACTCAAAGGTTCCACCCCATTTCAGTTCTGTTTCTCCTCGAGTTCAGGTGTGGCTCTAGGGTTGGGAAATTGCACAGATTTGGGGTTTGAACATACCCCTCAATTCTTTGTAGCCAGCTCCTCTTGGAGCACATCTCTGCTACTAAAGAAAAGGGAAGATTCTGGGACAGTTGCTGTGTTTTGGTACCTGTATTCCCTGCTATGACAGGCTAGCTCTATCTCACCGCACACATGGGCGCTTTGGGGACTCCTGTGGTAGAAACCTGTGTGCCACGCCACCTGCAGAAGTAGCCAGCCGCTCTGACTGAATTCCCACGGCCTGAGCATTGTGGCTTCCCACGGGTCTAAAGGCAATCTTAGCTATGGACTCTCTCGGAACAGCTCCAGCTTCCCCGGCCTCTCTGTGGCCCTAAGGTAGAAATGGTCTTTCAGGTCTGCTCCCTGGGAGGCTACGATGCGGGCCCCTGAGCTGTCCCCGCCCCATCATGCTCTCCAGGACACTCCAGTTTATAATCTGTCTTCCAGTGGCATTCTGAGACTAAGCATTGCCCTGGTGGGGTTGCTCCGTTTGGGTTGGGGCCCATAGCAGAACAGAAGACACACGGCGCTGTCCACACCAGCCCCTCCTTTTGGATTCCTCTCAGCCTCTAGTGTGGAGTTGTTTCCTGGGTTATCAGTTGAAGGGCCATTGGCCACCATTGAGATTAGAGCAGCCCCTTGGGAATATAGGGACGTGCCACCTCTGGGGCTTTAGCCCTAACTCCATGTTGCCACAGAAAGTCCATTTTACATCCTAAACTTCCATCTTTGAACCTTTCTTTCTTCTGTTTTTGTTTTTGTTTTGTTTTTCGATACAGGGTTTCACTGTAATTTTTTTAGAGCCTGTCCTGGAACTAGCTCTTGTAGACCAGGCTGGCCTTGAACTCAGAGATCCACCTGTCTCTGCCTCCTAAGTGCTGGGATTAAAGGTGTGTGCCACCACTGCCTGGCCTGTGCTGTGCGTTTTACACACAATATGGAAATACAGTCCTAATCAGTGAAGACTATGTCACAGGTCAACATGAGCGTTGTGTGGAAAGCATAATTTCCTACTTAACAGGACACCAAGGGGGCTGGGGTATAGCTCAGTCAGTAAAGTGCCTGCTGCATTAGCACGAGGACCCGAGTTCAATCCCATAATAAGCTGGGGTGAGGGCTTGCACCTGGAACCCCAGAAGTGGGGGTACAGTGAGGAGAAAAGAGGACCCTTGGGACTTGCCGTCCAGCTTGAGTAGCTGAGTTGGCCAGAGCTTTAGGCTCTGTGAGGAAGCCCTGTCTCAAAAAAATAAGGTGGAGGGCGCTTGAGAAAGGGACCTGACAGCCTCCTGGTCTCTCCAAGCATGCACATGGACAGGCCTACACATACATGTGCGTAGACACATACCGCACATTTGCATGCATGAATGCACAAGCCCACAAAGGCCACAAAGGGTTCTGTGCTGTGCCACAAAAGGAAGTGATCCTTGGTTGTTGGGGTTCCCTGTGCTGATCACTTGGTTCAGTGAGTTTCTAATCCTGTATGTCAGCAACAGGAACGAAAGATCATTCTGGGGATCGCCTTTTGTATCCCAAGCACACTGAATCTCAATGTTTCGTTGCAGGGAGAGCTACAGAACCATCGGCCTGTATTGGGTTGGCTCCATCATCATGAGCATTGTGGTCTTTGTGCCCGGAAACATTGTAGGTAAGAAGCCCTATTTTAACAGCCACACTTTCCTTGTTGTTTATCTTTGCAATGATGGGGTTTTTAAATAGAGAAGTTTTTTTTTTAGCTTTATAATAGATTGCAAGCTTATAAGAGCTATCTTGCAAAGTTATTTCCAGCCCTTTGGTGCTCCCATCTTTTAAGAAGTGCTTTGGAGCCATGCTGAGAAGCGTGCACTGAAGTTAGCTAAGCAGTCGGCATTTGCTGCGTGGCCGCTGCTCGTAGCTCTTTGTATTTCATGTCGCTTTTCACGCGTCATGAGAACCCATAGTCAATGCACCGGAAATAAAGACTCTTCCAGGCTGAAGTAAAAGAAGTCATTTAGACAGGCAGAAAATTAGGATATATGTGTTAATATAGTTTTTCATATTGTAAACAGGACATCACTGTTAAGAAACATCTAATGGTTTTGACTTTTTTTTTTTGTCTTTTCTGATAAAAAAATAGTGCCTGGTTCATAGCAACATTTTATGTGATTTGAGGCAGGAAGTAGCTTAAATATCATTGTGTGTATATATGCACCAACAGACTTCTATTTTTCCTCTCTCTTTTAGGCTTTTTAAAAATTTTATCTTATTGAGCTATACATTTTTTTCCTCTCTCTTTTAAATAGGAAAATATGGAACACGGATTTGCCCAGCGTTTTTCTTAAGCATACCATATACGTGTCTTCCGGTCTGGGCTGGCTTCAGGATCTACAGTCAGCCATCAGAAAACTATAATTATCCCTCAAAGGTAATTTTATCACTCCGAAGTATAACCAGTTGGCTACTGGTGTGTAAACTCGGGCTAGCTCTCTGGCAGCCGGTAACTCTTCCATGTCTTCAGGGAGGGTCACGGGGCTCACACCTCCTGCGAGGACAGAGCATTTGGGGCAGTCAATCCCCGGGGCTGTGTTGCTAGCTTAGCATTTGCTAGCATCTTCATCAGTGAGGCAGACGGTCTGCTTCTGTCCGAATCCACCTGCCTCTTTCCACTGTCCCTAATCCACTGTCCAGGTTACACTTTGGGGGACGTCCCTCGCAGGGATCACCTTGGCTCTCGTCACCCTTCTGTGTTAGCGTGACAGGTGAAGTCCAGGCAAGTGGTTTGCCTGGCCTGTCAGTGTCCTGTGTGTGAGAGTCTGACACTTCCTTTGGTAATCCCATTCACTGCTGAGCTAGTCAAGGCAGTGCACGAGGGCCAAGGGGTCCGACCTCTGGGGATGCAGGACCAGGACTCTGGCTGCAGGAGCACTCCCAAGACTCCTCCCCTTCCAGTCACGGCCGAGGTGGTCGGTATGAAGTAAGGCTAGCCCTGCAGGTCTGCTTATGTCTTCCTTTCTGAGAGAGCGATTTCTTTCTCTTCGGTTTATATACGATATCCTTGGGTAGGGTCCTCTAACTCTATCTGATGTGTGAGAACAAAGTACTAGTTAGGACATGATCACCCACCTGACAAAATTATTTTGATTTTAAAATCATTATTTTTTAAAGTTATTTTTGAGGCAGGGTCTTACTATGTAGCCCTCTCTATCTGGCCTTGAACTCTCCATGTAGTCTGGGTTGGCCTCAAAATCACAGGGATCCACCTGTCTCTGTCTCTCAAGTGCCGGGACTGAAAGCATGTGCCACCATGTCTGGCCCAAATTATTACTATTATTTTTAATTATTTTTTTTCTATTCAAAAGTTTACACTTCTTCCCCTCCTCCCATCCCAGATTATTTTTACAAGTAGAATTCCTTAAAATCCCTGTTTAGGGGAGCGCTGGGGTTGAATGCAAGGCCACCTGTGTGCCATACAACCACTCTACTACTGGCGTTTACTTCTTGCTCTACATACAGTATAATTTACATGGAGTTAACTTGTAAATGAGATACTGCTGGGTAAACTCAGGCCAACAACAGTCACACGCGTACATCTCTCTGAGGAGTGAGTGGGTGTTAGAAGAAAGGGTGAACTGTAACCCTAGTCGGCCAACAAATCCCAACAGCGGCAGACTCACTCTGCAGGGGTGTTTAGCCATGCTTCCATCCCAGTTCCACATCAGGGGCCTGTCCCGAGACCGTCAATGGTGACACCCTGCGGAGATTTCTGTGCAGGGTCACTCTCCTCAATGTTCAGTGTCGGAGTGAAAAAATGCCCCAGTGTCTTGCACTGGGAGGACAGCAAGTACGGTCTTCTTACGGTATTTTCAACTTTAATCACGTGAGCACATGCTCATAGGGAGTTGTTCAGGGGAGAATGCAGAACTGTTTATATTCTAAATTCTATTTCTGCAAACAAGGTTATATGTGAATATATAGGTATGTATTTACACATAAATGTGTGTGTGTGTGTGTGTGTGTGTGTGTGTGTATGAATGAGTGAGGCAGGATGGTGGCACACATGAAATCTAATCCTAGCATTTGGGTCGGGGGGAGGCAGGATAATCATGAATTTGAGGCCAACCTGAGCTACACAGGGAGTTCCAGGTTTGTCTCTGCCACGTAGCTGAGATCCTGTCTCAGAAAGCCAACCAACCAGCTGACCAACCAACCAAAACCATAAATGAGTGTGTATCAACCACTGACAGCAGTGAAGCAGTTTATGGCTTACATTCTAAAGTTTCATTTTTCAAATGCATGTAGCTTACTTTTATAACCATAAAAATGTAGTTTCAAGAAAAGATATGGTGGGACTAGTGTGGGATGAGCCTCAAATCACCTGACTGACTGAGTACCTTTGTTTTATGGAAGAGGGAATGCACCGGAGGGTAGTAGGGAGGAGGGGAGGAGGGGAGGAACTCTGGAAGTTCCGTGGTCAGTGGTCCATGATGTGTACTGAGCATCTTCCAGACTCACTTTTCATCATCTTGGCCTTTAGTGCTGCAGACTTGGCCCTGGCCTCGGGAGTATTCTCCAGCAACAAACTCTCTTTTAGGTTCTTCAAGAAGCCCAAGCGAAGGCCCTCCTGAGAAGACCATTTGACCTAATATTGGTTGTGTGTCTTTTGTTGGCGACTGGATTTTGCCTGTTCAGAGGCCTGGTAAGCATAACATCAAAATAGCAATATACTACTCCAAATGGGAAAAAAAGTCCATGTTTGTGTGTATGTATGTATGAATGAATATATGTATGTATATAGTGTGTGCACGTGTTTAAAACCATACTGACAAACTCCTCTTCCTGCCATAGCCTGGAGCTCTGGACTAGTTTCCTGCAGCCCTCTGCATACTCCACTCACAAGGGAAGGCTCGTCCTGGGCTATCTCATACTTCCTCCTTTGGGTCCCCAGATCAAGTTCTATCTAGAAATATCTAACTTATTTTAGGGTACCTGAAAAACTGGTGATTAGAATCTCATTCTTTTGTTTTCCTTGACTCCCCCCGCCCCCACCGGCCCTGATTTAAAGCAACCATCTTTGGTCAGGGTGATACCCTAAGACCTCAATTCAGCTGTGGCCCAAAGTATCCAGGTGCCCTCAGGAGTACGAGCGGTGGGACCAAGGAAGAGGTCCCCGGGCAACAGTTCTCCCCCATGCAGGATCATGTGAGCGTCTCACAGCTAAGAGTAATGCTGAATTAGGCTCAGGTTTGGAGATTGATAACTCAAAGGGCTCTTTAGTTTACTTTTTTTTTCTTTTCTCTGTCAGTTTTTGTGTGTGTGACTTGTTTTTGGAGACAGGTTTTCTCTGTGGAGCTGTGGGGAACACTAGGCATTTGCTAGCTGTGTAAATGTCAGTCTCTCTGACCTACCATATTCTTCTCTGTAAACTACGAGTGCCTGCCTTACATCGTTTTGAAGATTAGTGACTACCCTCTTGGTATAGGGCCTGGCACAAAGAAAGTGTTCAATAAACAACCATTGTTACTGTCTTTCTTAATACGTCAGTGATCCTTCACAATGGCCTAGCTTTATAATTTATTCTTAGAGGAAATATTTTAATATCTAAGAATTATTTGTTAATCATATTCACCTGAAACAGTCACCAACTATTCTAAACTTGCTGGTGTTGCACAAGTTGAGACTAAGTCATGGAACTTGATCTTTGGTTGGTCTGTGCTAATTCCCAAGTTCAACCACCACCACATATTGAAATCCAACTGTATCCTTCCATGTCCTTCTCTCTTGCCCCGAGAAAGATGTGCGCGTGTGTGCTGGGCGGGACTGCCCCAGATGAGCATTTGGGCAAAGGTCCAGCTCCACTGCTAGCCTGTAATCTACATTGCCATCTAGGAGGAACATTTCATTGGCCTCCGAGGACGAGGAACGGTGCCTGAGGGGGAAGTGTCTCAGTGGCGTGCCAAAATCTAGTCTCTGACCTAGAGTCTACTCTGCAGGGACTGCGCTCTGGCTCTGCTCTTTCCTGAAGTGGGTGGGCGGAGCTCCACAGGAGGACCCTTCTTTCGAATCATCCCTTGCTGTTTCCAAGGACCATATGCTCTGGGAGGCACAGGGGAGAGGGAGAGAGAAAGAGAGAGAGAGAGAGAGAGAGAGAGAGAGAGAGGCAGATGCTATTTTTGAATCTTGCAAAGCATAGTATGATTAATTTGGCACCGAAGTGTTATTTTTCTTCTGGTAGAGACTAGTTGGCTAGCTATTCCCAAGTGAGTGGAACTGGTCATCTACACTGAGAGCTGTGCCTTGGCTCACTAAACCTAGATGCTGAAGCCATGACTATCATTGTCCCAAGAACAATGCTCCACAGTTAATCTAGGCTTAGTCCTTTAGAGAAGTTGGAATATTTCTGTTTTTCCTGTTACCAATGAGCCTGGAAAGACACAGTAGCTTATGACTGAAGCTGGCACACAGCCTCATCAGCAAACCCAAGAACCAGACACGACTATTTATAATGAACTCATTTTGTCCTTAGATTGCGTTGGACTGCCCAGCTGAGCTCTGCCGACTCTACACACAGTTTCAAGAGCCTTACCTAAAGGACCCTGCTGCTTATCCTAAAATTCAGGTCAAGTAGTTACAAAGTCTAAGGTTTTCCTAAAGTTAATTCTCTCTTATTTTAAATGAGAAAATGAGGTGTCTACACAGGAAAAAGAGTTAGCATTTATCTTTGAAAATGTTTCATGTTTTTTTTTTGTTAAGGTCAAGCTGTTAATTTGCTCACTTCTTTGTCACACAGATGCTGACATACATGTTCTATTCTGTCCCTTACTTTGTGATTGCACTGTATGGCTTGGTGGTCCCTGGATGCTCATGGATGCCCGACATAACGCTGGTCCACGCTGGAGGTCTAGCTCAGGTACTCAGGAATATTCCCTTCTCCCACATTTTTTTTTCCAAAGACAGTTTCTTTGTGTAATAGCCCTAGCTGTCCTGGATCTGCAGATCAGGCTGGCCTCGAACTCATAGAGATCCACCTGCCTCTGCTTCCTAAGTGCAGGGATTGATGGAGTGGCCACCACCGCCGGGCTAGAATATTCCCTTTTGAGAAAGTTCTTTAGTGACCAGCTGTCATTGGAATTAAGAAACCTGTCTCGGCTCAGTGTTTGAATAGGAAGTAGTTTTCTAGTTCATTGGAAGACATTTCTGCTACATACACCCACTCTCTCTCTCACTCTAATGATGCCACCTGGTAGATATAGTCATCTAGTAAAACCAGGGTGCCCCGGGGTCACAGAAGTAGCAAGGGGCACCGCTGTTATAGGATGGTTTCACGATCTAGGAACATGACTACTGATGAGAGCTGAAAGGTGTAAAGCATAGGCTGTCTGTCTATTCTGTCTAAACAAAGAGTCCAGAGCTCTGCTACACAATCCTCAACAGAACCACGGAGGCTGGTTTAGTGTTAGTTCTGTTTCGAGAAATCTGAGTCTGCCCTTCATCCCTCGCTCTGGCACGTCGCCAAGTCCCTGCCTGATAGCTGGTGTTTAATGAATGCAACATTGACCAGGAAATGAGAGTGGGGTCCACCCGGAAGCAAAGCAGTGATTATACAATCATGGGGACAATAACCAGGATGGCAGAAAGACCCCAGAATTCATATTGTTGAAAAAATACAGTATTTACAGGGTCACTGGGCTAAATCCTTCCTTGCATAGAGTAGTCATAGAAGAACAGATAAAACCTGCCGCCTCTCCTCCTGGATAGTCACTTAGCTGCTCTGCTCTTTGTCCTCCTCTGAATCCCCGATCCTCGATGCCTCGGCTTGGGTTTTTGTTTCTCCATCTTTTGGTATCAACTGAAAGCTGGTGACAAGTCTCTTCAGCCCTGACTGCTGTCTCCTAAATTTAATTCCAAACTTTCACTTCACCTGGATGGCTCACTAGCACATAAGATTTCTGGAGGCATTTTGAGAAACTTCTGAAACGGAAGCAGCACCTTTGTAATGGAAACAGGCACACTTGAGTTTTTAAACACATTTGCAAAGCAAGCGTCAGTCTACAAAAGAAAACCTATTTTCCTGTTTGGTACAGTCTTGCTTTGTAGCCCAGAACAGCCTTAAACCCAAAACCCTCCTGTTTCAACCTCATACCATGCCCAGGTAGCATGTTAGAAACTAAAAATAGGACTCTTGGTTCTCCCCATTTCTCCTATTGCCCATTTACTTGGTCAGTGGCAATTGTCTCAGCTTCTATTGGCCAGCTCAAGCCAAAAACCTGGAATCTTATTTTATGTATATGGATGTTTTAAACCGGTCTGTGGATTCATACACCATTTGTGTACCTGGTGCTGTGGAGACCAGAATAGGCACAAAAAAATTTCAAATTTTCTTAGGTCATTGGAAGACACACTGGGTGATTATTGCATCCTTGATTTCAGACTGTTACGAACCCTCCAAATCTGTTACCTTCAGAAACTACTAGCTCAGTTAACCATTTAAAAATAAAAATCAGACTATATTTTAGGTCAATTTCCACTGGGGGACCTAAAGTACAATCTCTCTTCATGTGCACTGCCTGCTATAGAACTGGAGCTGTAGGATAACTTGGGAAGGAAGACAGACCCTGACAGTGTTTCCCGTCAGCTGGAGTACAGTCAGGTCTTCGTTATGTGCAGGTTCAACAGGCTTAGGAGACACGGTTGAGGCTACGACGGTTATCAGTACTGAACAAAGAGGAGACTTTTCTTATTCCCTAAAAGACACAGCACAACGGCTTACGTTGCATTTGCACTGTGTGGTACTGTAAGTCATCTAAAGGAAGACATGCAGAAGGATGTACACAGGATACACACACATTTTATACAAGGGACTTGAGGACCCAAAGATTTTGACATATATGGAATGTCCCAAGGTCCTGGAACCAATCCTCCTTGGATGCCAACAGCTGACTGCACATTGTTAGAATCATTGAAAAGGAAACAAAACAAAAACCTGAGTAAATGCAGTCAATGTGATTAACAGCAAGGGCTGATTCGAGCCCCTTGTTGTCACTAGTTAATCCAAGCACCGCTTGTATTTTACTTCTCTCGATCACCAATTTTCTGTGAAGTTGCTGAGAGTTAAACAGGTGCTACATAAAGAGCTAGTCATTGTTCCGGACATGTGAAAGCTACCGACTCCTGGTTATAGTTGTTTGTATAGAGTCTCAGAAAGAGAAGAATGCCTTCTTACTGAGATTAATTCTTTGACAATTTAACCAAAGTGTGTCTCACATATAATGATGCTCCCAAAATAAAAACAACCTGGGCAAAGACTTAGGGACAGATGCCTACTGGGCATTCCGTAACCTCACATCCACTGGAGGGGGGGCACGAGTCAGGGGACATCTCTCCAGCTCACCGCCTCCTCCACTCCTGGACCAGGAGGTAAATCTGTGGACAGTCTAGCCGAAAAGCGCTGACTTTCCTGGAACTAAGTTTCATGACATTTTTCCTTCAGATATAAATCTTTCTGCCATCCACATCTGGTACTTTATTACCAAGCACCTTTGACATTGGGGTTCACTTTCTTACGTGTTTCTGCTTTGATAGCGAAGGAATTAAAAGGTCAATTGTCAACAGGGTGCCAGACCATGAGCAGGTATTTAGTTTTGTATCCACCCACACACCTGAGGTGAGCCCCGTAACTTAGCTTGTGTTGGATAAAGAATCCAATCTGGCCACATGTTTCTGGAGTCAGTATTATCAGTGTCTACGTGGTTACTAGAAAAAGCCCAAGGTAACATGGTTCTGGATCATCTACTTATATTATTGGGTCCACTGCCTAGAGGTTTGGCCCACTAACATTCATGTGGACGTGGCAGAGTCACTTCTTTTTGGAGTCAGGGTTGTGATCAGGGAGGACAGGGATTAGGATAGGGTCACCCTTTCCCAATTTTCTCTGTCAGGAATAGGAGCTATCACAATGCAGCCTTTGCTGACTTTCATTACCTCATTTTTTTTTTTAAAGACAGGGTTTCTCGTAGCTTTGGAACCTGTTCTAGAACTAGTTTTTGTAGACTAGGATGGTCTTGAACTCACTGAGATCTGCCTGCTTCTGCCTCCCGAGTGCTGGGATTAAAGGCGTGCACCACCACCACCTGGCTCATTTTAGATTCTAAACATTTAATCTGACAAAAACAAAAAACAAGCCTGGTCTACAAGAGCTAGTTCCAGGACAGGCACCAAAAACTACAGAGAAACCCTGTCTCAAAAATCAAAAAAAAACCAAAAAAACCCAAAAAAACCCAAAAAACAAACAAACAAAAAAATCCCCAGTATCTTTTATTTATTCAAGGTAGAAAACTTGGAATGAAGTCAAAGGGAACTGACTAGGGGTGTTGGCCAGATCATTGGATACTGCTGCTATAATCGAGATGCAGAATTCCGCACAGCAGCACTCACTCACTCCCTAGGCTCTGGTGCCATCCCCAGGCTGAGTTCCACAGATCATGTGTGCTGGGCACTCCTTACCAGTATATCTGGGAAAGGAACCCTTTTCAGTGAAACAGCTATTCTGGTATCAGAATCCTGAGCACTTCATACTAGAGGAGGCTACTGTTGGGGGCCCGCCCAGCTGGCTACCACAAACACACCCTTGTTCAGTACCAGGAGCTGCGGACAACTGGCCTCCAGGCTCTTTTCCCACACGCACACACCTTTTGGTAAGGAGTGTTACAGTCTTCACCCTTGGTAATAATTCTGAGAATGCCTACCACTGTAGGTATAGAGAAATGCTTTAAAGGTTCTTTTCGTAGCTGACAATCACAAGACCATTGTTGTTGAACGTTTATTGAACTCTAACAATGTGATAGGTGCCACACAAAACAATAGACACAGTGTCTGCCCAATGGGCGTACAATCTAATCTAAGGACATAAGTCATTTTTCTAATGTTGCCATGAGCTCACTGTTCATGAAAATGAGGTATTATCCGCACTGTGTAGTGCAGGAAGGGCCCACAGACTCACCGACCTTTCGGGCAGGCTTGCCCACACAAGTGCACACAACACGTTTCTCACTCTTGGAAACCATGGATGCTATTTTTCTGGTCGTTCTATGAGGTACACAATAATCTATAGGGATAGAATCACTAAACCCACAAATCTGACAACATCAGAGTTCAAAACTGGCCTCTAGTCCAGAAGAAAATGGTTATATATTCAGACCAACAGCTATTTAAAGTAGGGCCCAGAGAAAAAGTGTCAGGAGCCAAGGTTTTGTTTAGAGTTCCCAGACTGTTCACAACCGCAGCTCCTCAAGGCAGCCTCCAAAGTGCCCTTTACTCTCAAGGTCTTTTGTCTGTGTAGCCCTGAGATGCAAACCTTTGCTGGGCCTTTGGCCATCTGCCCTAGAGAGGTGTGTCTGAGGGCAGAGCCCCCCTCAGTGCCTGTGGATTACAATGCAGGTAATCCACTTGTTGGTCCTTGTCAACACATCTCAGGAATTTACTTTTTATCTCCAGAGTAGCAAAATCGTATTAGAGGTATCCAGAATATATCAGTAATTTATAAATTGTAGCCCATTAAAATATCTGCCATTGATACAAATTCCCAAACATGCTTTTTATAAAAGCTTGCCCTTTTCTTGTCAAGGTCAAATCGATTGCTAAGTAGCACTTTTATCTGCTAACCCTCAGCAGTGTAGGAAATGTAAGGTAGTACACACACTAAACACCGTCTCTAGTGATCCATTCTTTACAGCACCCTCCACCTTTTCACTCTGACCACAGTACCACTATGACTTACATTTAAATCTTCAGCCTTTATTCATGTGTACCTTGAATTTCAGCCAAACATAAAAATGCAAACTTGGGTTTGCATTTTATTATAACCCAAGTTTTCTGAGAAAATATTTTCTTGGTTTTTTAATCCTGCTATGACCTGTATTACTTTTCTAATAGTTTTTCTCTGTGCTTATGAAAAGTACTAAAAACAAATGAGTCAAGCAAAACTCAGCAGGCACATTCTGGATAGAGTCTGTGTATATAAACAGAGGGAGGTCTTGCCTTTCTGTTCTGAAACTTGGATTATGATGGTCACTCACAATTCTGAGTAGATTTCCGTCCGGTTTGAAAAGGTTGCCTGTGTATGTTTTGTCATTTATAATCATACTGCTATCGACAGCCAAGCTATTAACAAGTGTATCTTACAAACAACCACAGTGCTATACGTTGTGCAAAACCAAATACATGACTAAACAAAACAACATGTTGACAGGGCTGAGAACTTGCTTCAGTTGTGTCTGATCACTGACACGGAGATCCTCAGTGCTCCTCTGTACGTAGCTCATTATACTAACTACAGTTTAGCTTTGAAGCTCAACTTCATTTTTAATTGGAACCCATTTATGAGAGTTAGCTGAGTGTCTATGTAGTATTCCTAGAATTCAAATTAGAAATGTTTGGTATTGGGCACTGATAGGTTAAAATACAAAACCCTGGAATGATAAAACCACACTTGAAATAGGAGGCATTATTTAATAGTTATATCAAGAATGACCTTCAAGTGAAAGGCTATGTATTGAGACTGTGGGTTATCTACAGGTATTTTGCTTTTAAGGCAGGTTTTGAGGGGACATGGTCTGAATGAGTCACCCAGAACTCATCATTAATCCAAGAGTCAGGTCTCACGCTGCTCTTGTTTTGATGCAAACAGGCGCAGTTTTCCCACATTGGTGCTTCTCTCCATGCTAGAACTGCTTATGTCTACAGAGTCCCCGAAGAAGCAAAAGTCCTGTTTTTAGCATTAAACATAGCATACGGCGTTCTTCCTCAGCTCTTGGCCTATCGCTGCACCTACAATCCCGAGTTCTTCATGAGAACAAAGGCAGATGAGAAGGTGGAATAAATATACCTCACGTTATCTCTGGTCCTGTTACATGGAACGGATGCTCTACTTCATTCCCTTCCACGAGAATCAGACTCATGCTCTGTGCTGTAGGTGTGATGGGAATAATGGCATGTGTATGGTATATTCTCTTTGTTGAGGGAAACTGAAGGTGAACAACAGCCTGCTAAAGAAATATGTTAAAAACTGTCTGTGAATGTGACCATGGATCTTAACATTGCACATACGGTGTGAAAGTTACAACTCCAGTGCCTACAAATAGCACAGAATCAAACTATTCAGACGTGACTAACCATATTCACTATGTACATGAAAGAACTCAAAACAGCAAATACAGGTTGAAGAAATAACTTCTTCATATGAAATGTAAGACTCATTGACAACCTTAATATAAATGCCAAATCAGCATAATATTCTTAAGTTGTTTGAAGTGTCTTCATAAGGAAAGTACATTACTGTTGTTTAAAAAAGTTGCTATCCAAACTTCCATTGTGAATTTAAATAGCTAAGATGACACAAGTCGACCTTATTAGTAGCCTTAATGGATACTTGTTTTACTGGTGGCTGGTAATATTTCTCTTCTCTGTATATTTTCAACAGAATTATTTTTGATATTTTATGAAGACAAACTTTATTAAATTTGAAGCATTTTATGTATACATTTCATGACAAATTTTGAACTTTTTATTTAAGAAATCTGTCATATGTTCCAATTTAAAATGTTATCCACATTCTCCACATGTTTTAGTGTGATCAATGAAGAGGTCTTCTGGCGAATTTCATTAATTTTAGAATAAAATACTTAAAATTAAAAAGTACCTTTTAAAGTAAAACCTGATGTTGCAACTTGTCTCTTAATGAACTTTCGGCATTTGGAACTGTGTACGAACAACAGAGAAACCACTAATTGCTAAATGACAGAAACAAGTCGAAAGTACAGTAGCCTCCTCAGTATGCCCTGAAGGGGTAACTCCCACAGCCCAGCATCACCTTCATCACCACACTGGGCTTTTAGATCTTCACATATGTTGTCTTGATGTTCATTTGTTCTTCAATAAAATAAGAAACCAAAAGAAAGTGGGATGCACATAAGGCTGTGTGTAAACCCAGGGTCCACGGAGCTGCTGTGCTCTTAGACGTGCAGGCAGGTCACACTGTTATTCCCTCCTGTCCCTCCCAGTGTTTTCAATTAACCTAACATCCAGAATAGTTTAAAAGAAAAAGATAGAAAAAATAAAATCCTCACCTACACTTAATTCTTATGTCAATTTTCTGTCAATCTTTGCTTTAATATAGGAATTACATCAATACTTCACATTACACGTATGAAGCCAAATAACACTAACTCAGTTGTTTACAACCTCAAACCTTACTCCCAGTATACATTCCAATAAATTTATTCTGTAAAAACAATACATTTTTTTGTTGTTTTTGATTTTTTTTTACAGTAAACTTTTCAGCTACAAACCGCAAACATACACGGAAGATGTTCCAAGGACAAGCATAACAGAGCTGATGAAACTCAAACTGACTAATGTGTTCTCACAATATAAGCTGGCATAAAAATAAATAAGACTCTCTATTATCACAATAGCGACAATAATGTACACATAATAATCATTTGTGGATGAAAGTTAACTACTCTAATTCTAGTTCCAAAAGAAAAGTTTATGTTAAAAGTCTTTATCAAGAGTCAATGTTCTGTCTGTTTTCCACAGTGCTCCTGCTGATTTCAGCTGTCAAGTGTACAGTCACTACCTTGATTGATTAGCTCAAATCATATTGGCATTGGGAAAAAATAAATCCTTGCTTTATTTGGGTATAACACAAAAGACTCACTAGGTTCACATACACACTCAGGTTGTGCACACAGCAACATGAGTTTTGAGAGCGTGAGTTTCACTATCTACTTCTACTACAGACAGGAACTGTACAGTGAGGTTAAACTTTACACATGGCCTTCAGACTGAGAGATGACTTAACTCCACTCCAACAGACCAGCAATAAGTATCTAGGAGTTGGCTCTTGGGTTCTGTTAGAAAGAAAATCCCATCCTTAAGTATTATGTTGAGTAGTCATCTAAATATATGAATTACTATTTAACTGAGTATTTGATGATGGTGGGGTAGAGGCAGGAAGCTGATGATCAAAACTGCCTTGGAAGAGGAGCCTAGACATGGAAAAGTCTGTGCAAAAATCTTGATAATTCTTAGTGGTTAAGGGAAACTTCATGCAACCGAATAACATAAAATTAAGTCAATAACCTTAAAAAAGGTCAAAGTGTCTTTTTTTCCTTCAACAGACCAGAGAGGAATGTGACTATGCACACACACTGGGTGGGTTCTGTCAGTGACAACAAAGACTATGTGTTGGTTCATAGCAAATCCAAGAATTAGACAATCAAACATTAACCTTCTTGTGGTTTCTCTCAATATGCAGCATTCATTACGGTAGTTAGGTCTGTAAAAAAGCAAATAAGACAAGCCTTAGATGAGCTGGATACTAATGAGGGAGCTATCCACACCTCTGGGCACAGCATTATCTTCCTGAGGTCTGAATCAGCATCAGCATTACAGCAGCAGCAATACTTAGCAACACAGCTTCAGAGGCTTTGCCTTTTAGCTAGCAAAAAGTTAACGGCAATTTTTTGGCATTCTGTTATAACAAACAAGCAAAAACCCCAAAGAGTAAACTTTGTCAGTGGGGCGTGGTGGCGCCTGCCTTTGATCCTGGCACTTAGGAGGCAGAGACAGGTGCATCTCTGTGTTGCAGGACAGCCTGGTCTACAAAGTGAGTTCCAGGACAGTCAGTGCTACACCGAGAAACAACCCTGTCTCAAAAACAACAGCAAAAAAAACCCAAAGTAAACTGTCTACTCTCTGCAGTAGTGGGCATGCTGTGCCCTCAAGGACATATCTACTGCTGGTACACATGGGTGCACACAGGCCACCCAAAATACTTTAGTTTCTGTGGTACATATGGCATAACAAGGTACAAAAGCTAACAGCATCAGTGTGTCTAGTCTCTGACTTTGTGCTTTTGAGGAAAAGAATAAAAGATGAAACAAAGTCTAGATTTCTTTTCACATTATATATGGCATAGACATAGCAAAAATAAAATATTCCTGTTTCATAAAAGAATTAAATTTTAATTTGGTTTTGTATTTTATTTTTTTAATGTGTGTGTGTGTGCATGTGTGTGTGTGCGTATGTGTGCGTGTGTGTGCATGTGTGTGCACGCTGCAGTGCACACATGAAGATCAGATGACAACTGACAGTAGTAGGTTCTCTCCTATCATGTGGGTCTGGGTTCAAGACTCAGGTCCTCAGACTTGGTGGCAAGTAGCTTTATCCACTGATTCCTCTTGTAGACCCAAGAATTGCATTTAAACTGAGATTCTACTTTAAATTGTGTCAGGTTATATTTCCCCAATGAGATGCTATTTTTGTTTTCCATCCCATTAACCTAAAAATATTAACTTTTAGTTCTCATGGGATGGATAAAAAAGGGAAATCAGACCCCGCATATTTCCCCTAAAACAGTTTGAGTTACTGCATAGATAACTCAAGCAACACACGTGCCCGTGGGACGTCCCCGCTTACCCACAGCCCATCAAGTCACTTCAGGACCCTCACAAGGAGAGAAGGTCATTCGCAGAGGGCAGAAAGAGACTTCTTAGCTTTCTCTACCCCTGCCCCAAACAAGGAAGCTAGTGGATCTTTATTTTTTAAATCATATTTACAACCTGTGAATCTGAAAAATACAATGCCTGGTAATTGATTTATTTATTAATAAATAAAAATACTAGACATATGATTATACTCACATATGCTTTGGAGGACTCTTTCTTCTTTTGGAAGGAAGAAGATACCCAAATAATAAAAAATTATTATTCAACCAAAGAAACCTTTAACAGTATATTTTATTAATATAATGTGAAAGGCAATAAAATCTATGTTTATGCAGCAGGAAGTTCATTTAACAGTCAGTTCATATTAAAGACTACTGTGAAGCAGATCAGCAGTAGTTTCAGAGTAGTGTCAATGCACTGAAGAGATGACGGCACCAGTGTGAGCACTTCTGGGACACACCTCTCTATTTTTAAATAAGGCACTGTCAAACGGGTGCTTGTGGAGCAGCTGCGGAGGCTACAGCTTTAAATGCGCACGACGGCTACGGTCCTCTTCTAGTCACCCTAACTCAGGATGGTGTCCACACTGGAGACAGCACTCTGGCTATCCGCCAGGCCTGACACTTCCTCTACTCAAAGAGTCAATGTCGTGCTCATGCTTTGTGATCCCCTTCTGTGCCTTCCATGGCTATCTTGACTGACATCTACAGGATTCAATCAGATTCCCCCTTGAGGTACTTTATTGGGAGGCACACTAAAAGGCTTTACAGGGCAGCAAAGCTAATGGATACCCCAAATATGGCAGGCAGAAGCCAAAAGGATTTCTCATGGAGTACAATTTTTATGTGAAAAAAATTGATGTTAAGATTTGGATATTTGGCAAATTGAGCAGTAAGATGCAAGTTGAAATGACAGTGAGCTTCCATCTCACCCCAGGAGGGATGGCCATTTATCACCAAGGAAATAAACAAGAAATGCTGTGAGGATACAGTGCTGGGGGACAGACGAGCAGAGCTGCCATGGAGTCTGTGTGAAGGGTTTTCAGAAGACTAAGAACAAGGGCCGGGGAGGGGGATCTGCGAGGGCAGTGCCTGCTGCTCAAGCATGAGGACTGAGCGGATCCCCAGCACCGGGGCAGCTGGGGACAGCAGGGTATAGTGGCAATGCCAGTGCTTGTTGAGTAAGCAGAGATGGGTGGGGGCACTAGCCGGCCAGCCTAGCAAAGTCTGTGAGCTTAAGGCTCAGTGAGAAATTATCTTCTTTTTTTTTTCTTTTAAAAGGTTGAGAATGATGCTGCCCTCTCTTATACACATGCGCAGGCATGCATACAAATTAAACAATAGCAACAACAAGAAGACAGAATTACTGCTGATCATATATACCACTTTTGAATTCACACACAAAGACTCAAAGCATACAGTAGAGGTACCTGTACACCATGTTTACTGTGGCACTTACTCACTATAGCCCAGTCATGGAACCATGCTAGGGTCTATGAAAGGATAAAGAAAACATGACACACACAGACACACATAAAAGTTTTAGTCAGTCAAAAAAATGAAACTATGCTGTTTGAAGGAAAATGACTGGAACAAAACGATATAAATAAGACTTAGACAAATAAAGCTTTTTAAAAAAATTACATGCAGATTATAGATTTAAATCGGAAAAGGGAGAAAGTGGAGGTGGGAGGGATCAGGCCTGGATAAACATAGTAATAGTGTATATGGATAAAAACTTCCTAATGAATCTGTATGGTTATTATACACTAATAAAAAGCTTTAGTATTGACTACTTTGTGAAAAATATAGTGACTACTAATTCCTAAGAAAAAATAGTATTTGTTGCCAGTGATAAAAATTGATTAAGTGAAAATTATAATTTTTAAATCCTCCATATGATAGCTTCTTGACATTTAAAGACTTCTAAAAGAAACACCACAAAGGTCAGCACTGGAGGAAGTAGTAACCAGGATTTCCAAACAAGTAGAATTTGTGTGCGATCCAAATGGTCTGAGGGATTGTAGGTCTGTCCTAGTAAGCAGCAGCTGTCACCCTGACACAGCCTAGGGCCATCTAAGGGGATCTCAACAACAGACTACCCAGATAAGATTTACTGTGTTGACTGATGATTGATGTGGCAGGGCCCGGTCCACTGTGGCCAGCACCATCCCCCAGGCAGGTGGACCTGGGCTGTGAAAGGAAGCTAACTGACCACACACCTGTGAGAAGGCCAGTGCACAGGACAACAAAGAACATTACTTCATGGTTCCGCTTCAAGCTCCTGCCTTGCTTGAGTTCCTGCCCTGACCTCCCTCAATGATGGCAACAGAAGGAAACTAGACCAATTCCTAAAGCGAGCACCTTTAGGACACTGCTATCCTTAAGATAAGGAATAAAAGGGCTAAAAACAGGGAAGAAGAAATCATCCCTATATGCAGCTGATCATCCTATACTTAAAAAATCTCCAAGAATTCACCAGAAAATCCTTAGGCCAGATGAGCATTAAGTAGTGAGATGCAAAAACAACATACAGAAATCAGAAAACTTGCCACACACTGACCATGAGTTTGCTGAGAATCAGAGAACATCATCTTATCTGTAATAGCTCCAAGAAAAGTAAAAAGCCCAGGAATAAATCTAACCAAGGAGGTGGGAGTCCTTCACAAGGAAACTTCATGATACTGAAGAAAGAACTGGAAACCAGGGGATGGCAGGAAATCCAAGCTGTGAAAATGGTTACATTACTGAAAGTGATACACATATCCAATACAATTCCCATCAAAACTCTAAGACATTGTTCAGTGAATTAGAAAAGACAATCCTAAAATAAATATGGAAACGTAAAAGACCCCAACTAGCCTCAGTGATCTTACAACAGGAAAAATAATGCTGAAGGTACAAAACCCATGACCTCAAACTATACCACAGAGCCACACAAACTGCAGGGTCTCAGCACAAAACACACAAAAAAACGAAGTCCAAGCGAATACAGAACAGAGGACCTGGAAATAAAACCACACAGACACAAGCACCCAGTTTTTATTTTTGTCAAAACATATATTAAGAGGAAAGTGCCTTTTCAATAAGTGGGTCTAGCAAAACCGGGTACACACCTGTAGGAGATAAAACTAAATCTGTACCCCACCCTGTATAGAAACAAATTCAAAAGGGAATCAAAGATTTGTAAGACCTAGTAATCTGAAAATGTTAGAGAAAACAGCATCTAAAGTCGAGAGGAGAAAGTGGTGCTACGAAATAGGGGAGGAACTGGAGAGGAGGAAACAGGAAGTGTTTGATCAGAACATAGTGTATGTATGCATGCAACACTTTTTTTTTAGCCTAAAAAAAAAAAGTGAAGAAAAGCACAGACAGAGTATTTCAAGACACAGACAATGACTTTCTGAAGGCTTTGGCAGACAATCCCAGGACTGGTAAATGGGATCATACCAAATCCACATCTCCTGTTACAGGAAAGAGAGAACAAGGAAGATGGGGAGCCAAGCAACAGTGGGAAAATCTTGGCCAGCTACACACTTCCCAGGAGCTAGCTAACATAAGAGAAACTGCAAAAACTGAACACCAAAAAACTTCAATTACTACATTAACATATTTTGGATCCCTTCCACGCAGCTCCCTGGCCTCAACCTCCTGTCCCGTGCTCCACTCTGTGTTCTCTGTGCCTGCACAGCTCAGTCTGCCTGGAGCAAACACAGTCACTCCCTCTGCTTACTTCAAGTTCATGCCCACCAGCCCCAAGTGAGTCCCGCTTCCTTAGCAATCACCTCATTTCTCAAGCCCACTCACCCTCCTATTCTTCTCAGGGACTTTTTAAACCTCTTCCCTTCTGTGAAACCTCAGCACTTTTCCTGCATTTCCTCAGGTCATGACCTTGTTTCCTTAGAAAATGGAAGCAATTGCAAGAATTTTTGATAAGCTCTCCTCCCAAGTCCTCACCTATGTGTATCTGTGCCCTAATATTCCCTCACAAGGCGTACTCATCTCATGCCTTTTCCCTCGTAAAGGACACTGCTCCAGCAACTGCTCCTTTGATAATCCATCTACCGAATCATTCTTAACAATCTGAGCATCAAGGTCATTTGACATTCTATCCCAGCTCATGGCTATTCCATATTTAAAAATAAGTTTAACATTAGCTATCAGCTTTATGAAATACCATGACTTGTTAGAAAGCTGCTATAGCGTAGAGTGGGTAATTGACCAAAGGAACACAAGAGAACCTAGGCAGAACCTTATGCTAGGTGGCAGATGATTTCAGTACATGGTTACGATGGTTATTCTTAAAGACAGACAATTCTAACCCCATGAAGAAGAGTGAGCAGCTGACTAAGTAAAACTAAGAAAGTAATTTTTTAAAATCAAAAAAAGTTAATAGATAAGACACAAATATTAAACATTATCTTACAGCATAAACAAAGCCCTATAAAAAAGTAAGAAAAATGTCTAATGGGAAAACAGGCAGAACCCTGGAAATGTGTATCATGGAGCAGAAACATGGCCAGTTGGTAAGCATAAAAAGAGACATATCACTGACCATACTGCATTACAAATTCATACTGTAATGACTATTTTACACCGATATATTGTCAAAAACCAAAATCAGATGACACCAAAATAATACACTGTTGGTATTGTTGGTCTGAGCATAAATTGGCCAATCCCCCAGAAAGGGACTTGGTGAAACGGAAAGCCATGAACCTGTACTTCAGCACCCCCAGCTCTAGTGCAAACTAAGAAAACTTGAGCATGTACGCTAGGAGACAGAATGCTTATAGCAATGTAGTTTTGAACTGCCCAAAGCTGGAAATAGCCCAAAAACCTATCAACAGTAGACTAAATATATAAATCTGGCATATCCCCAGCATTATATATGCTATATAAACTGAGCATTATACAGCACTGAAAAATGAATAAGGGCTGGCAAGATGACTTGGTGAGTAAAGGTACTTTCGCTAAGCCCAAGATTTGAGCTTGATCCCAGGATTCATGTGAGAATATGGATCCTTGAAAGTTGTCCTGGGACCTCCATACATGAACTATGTATGGCAAGCTGTAACAGCACCCCCCATGAGTAATAACTTTTTTAATTAAAAATAAAAAATCAAACTTGCTGCTACATAATAACCAAGCAAATGAACTTAAAAGCACAGCAGTGAGTAAATGCCATCATCAAATGTTTATAAACAAGCCACACTAAACAATATTAATAAAAATTAAAATACGAACTTTGTTTATCGAGACAGAGTTTCTCTATGTAGCCCTGGCTGTCCTCGAACTAGGAAATCCACCTGCCTCTGCCCCCCAAAGCGCTGGAATTAGAGGCATGCCCCCGCCCCCGTGGATGTGTGAACTTTTAAGCAAGCATACTATGGCAGACTGTAGAAGGAGAGCTCTAGGAGAGGGAGGGGAGCGGAAGAGAACGGTGACTGGTGAGAGGCAGGAGGAGAGAAGAGCACATGGTACTCAATGCTGCGAGAGAAGGGGACTTGAAGAAGAAGGCCAAGCATGGTGATGCACCCTGTAGACCCAGCACTCAAGAGGTTCAAGCATGAGAACCATGAATTTGAGGCCAGCTTGAGCTGCACAGTGAGTACTAGGTCAGACGGGGCATATAGCAAGACCCTGTTTCAAAAGCTGAGAGGAGGAAAAACAGGTGGAGGTTGCAGAAGCCTAACCTGTGTGGCGTGAGTAGGAGAACAATTAAGTGTACTTGGAGAGTGATGGCAGGTGACTGGGATGAAGAGGGATAGCTGACAGGCAGGCGGACCAGTATGGGCAGGTGAGAACGAGAGAAAACAAGTTCACAGAGGAGCAGCAGTGCACTCCCCAGGCTCCAGCGCTCACCCACTATTTCATCAAGGATAGTTGCTGGGAGTCAGTCTGTCGGGCCAGGGCTGTGCACTCAAGTGCTCAGCCTTCATAGGTTATTCTGTGAAGACAACTGGTCTACAGAGAGAACTGCTATGGGAAAGGCCCCGGTGCACAAACTCCCTTACTACCACTTTCACAAATGTGGACCTGCCTGCACTGCCTGCAATGCCAAAGTCAACAGAAGTTAACTAGAGTCAAAGTAAGTAAATCTGATCCTATAGGTCTTTTAAATATCAGTACTCAAATCCAGCTTGAATACTTATATTCTATTTTGGATATGCTACTGACTTTGTGACTAAAGAAACAGAACTGTTAAATCTCAATTTCAGTAACTTGCAAACTACTTTAAAATACTTGAAAATTGCTAAAGTAGTTTGAAAAATAAATATTCAGAGCTCCAATTTTCCAGGAAGGTACAGTTTCCACGTGGCTCTCTTTTGTCCTCGGACTCTAAACATCTGACCGCTCATTCAGGTTTGTGAATGGATACAACAAACCCATCTACTAAGGCTAAGTCATGGACACTGACTCCACAGGGAAATGTCTTCTAGGTTAGCAGGAGGGAAGGAAATCATCAGCACATCCTCACCCCTTCACCGGCTTTCTGCAAGTCTGAAGTCGTGTTTCTCGTGTCATTGCCGGCGTCTCCGCCCTCAGAGCTGCTTTTGTTTTCCTCTTCTTTGCAGTCTTTATCATCTTCATCTCCTGGAGACTTCCGGGACTGTTTAGAAGACTTCTAAACATTAAAAGTTAAAAATTAGAGTCAAAAGCAGAGCTCCAAATGCACAAATATAAGTAAAAAGGTGCATTAGGAGCTTCTCTGCATATTGTCTGACTCGATGGAGCACATACAGAACATGTTCAGTGTATCAAGGCTGGACTAGGTGCTGCTGGACATTTTACTTCTCAGGGCCTTGATTAACTGGCTGGAAAGGAAGCGGATACAGGCTAGACAACCACCTAATTATTGCAAGAAATGTGATATTAAAAACTGGACTCTACAGACACCCACAGCATGACTAAACACAAGTGGGTGAGAACCTACCACCTTAGTAGACATCAGAACTGAAAGTCACCTTACAGTAACAGAAACCAAGGTCCCGAGAGTTGAGGTGAACTTCCCGAGACAGAACCTGGCATCCAAGGCAGAAGACCTTGTGCTGTCTGACCAGGGACAGACTTAGAAAGACTCTGACAAAGCCTTCCCACCACAACACGACACTGCAATCTGATCTTCAAACTACGGGTAATTACTTAAGCACCTAGGGTACACTGGTGAGCCAGTGCGTTTTCTTTGTCATCTTCCATTTGAAATCAAATTATAGTTTGCAGCAGAAGTCACCTGGCAGAACAGTAATAAAGTTAGAAAAATATGGCTTCGATTGTATGTCTTATTTATGATGGTGAGATGTAACATTTTTAACATTTCCCTTTAAAAGACTTTTTTTGAATTTTTAGAATTATTTGTATTTATTGTGTATTGTGTATGTATTTGCATGGGTGTGTGCACCTGCCACGGCATGTGTGGAAGTCAGAGAACATCCTTGGGAACTAGTTCTCTCCTTCCCTCATGTGGTTCCTGAGCTGGTTATCAGGCTTGGTGGCATGATGACTCCTCTTAAGAAGTTTTTTTTTTTTAAAGTAAAAAGCAAGTTTAATTACAAGCATATAAACAATAAACAATGACTAATGGGCTTGTGTGAACGACTACTAGGTAGAAAACACAAAAGCTAAGCTGCTTGTTCAAATGCAGTCCCTTTAACATGTTCTGAACTTGACCAGATTGCCCTTTTATCTATTAAATCTGTATTTCTCTGAAGAATTTTTAATGGTTGGGCTTGTAGCTCAGTTACTAGTGCTTGACTAACATGCAGGAAACCCTGGGTTTGACCCCCAGCACTATGTACACTGGGCATGAGGATGGGTATCTGTCATCCCAGCCTCCAGAGATAAGAGGAAGGAGGCTCAAAAGTTCAACAACATGATTGGGTTACATATGAGTTTGACACCAACCAGGGCTACATGAGGCCATTTCTCTAGAGGAAAAAAAGGAAGGTGAGGAGAAATATTTTTAGATCAATCTTTAAATACTTTAAAAACAAAAACTAAGGTAAACTGACTAACCCAATCATTTTTTGGCTTTCCAGAAATGAATTAGCAAATTGGAACCTTCTCATACAATCATTTTTTTAAAAATTATTTTGTACGTGTGTGTACGTGTGCGTGTGCGTGTGCTGCAGGCGCAGTTGTAAGCACTTGTGAGCAACCTGATGTGAGCAATGAGACTCAAACTCTGGTCCTCTACAAGAACAGGCACTTTCAACTTCTGAGCCCTCTCTCCAGTCCCTTACATATATAATGTTTTCTTAAATGCAAAGATTGGCTGGAGAGATGGTTCAGTGGTTAAAAGAGCTTACTTGCAGAGGACCTGGGTTCAGTTCCCGGCACTGATATAGTGGCTAACAACCACTCATAATTCCAGTTTCAGGGGATCCAATTTCCCATTCTGGTCTGCAGGCAATACACACACATGAAATAAATCTAAAATACAAAGAGAAAGATCTTCTAGTTACAGAACATATGAATAGATTGCTTCTATTTTACTTGATTAAAACTACCAACCACAGCCAAACTGTTAGTTTAAAATGTTATCGTTTTTACCTTTTTAGATTAAAAACAGGCAACAGCCTCAAGTAACAGTGCTGACCTCCCACTCTTATCCTAACGTAGAACATCATAATGTACATACATGCCTGAGCAGGTTGTTTGTAAGTAACCCTGAGTTTATGCTTCTCAGCACTTGGCATGATGCAAACACCGAGTCTACATCAATGAGAGCTAGAGCATTTTTAGACATCTGCTAATGAGTGGCACTAGTATCTTGGCAGGAAATCTGCCTGCAAAACTAACTCTGTAAAGCTCTTCAGATCATAAGTCCTGTAAGTTTCTTTTAAATTGGTGTTTATCATCTGTTTTATCAGTGTGGACTTGAATTGGCTTTATGTTTAACTGTTGTTTTGCTAACTAAAATTCTTGCTCTTTTAGCATCTTTACTAATTTAATTTGTTGTAAGGATCTGATAAGCCTTAACCATAAATCATTTGCATAAAAATACTTTTAATTTACAATTTTCTAGTATCTGCTAGTGCTTGTTTAACATGAACCAGCTATACACTTGTTAAAAGATAAGTCATTTTCCTCAGACCTGCTGTACTTTGGTTTTTCATTTTGATTACTGAGTTTTTTCCTCTCACAGGTAAATGCAATTCTGTAGATAGAGGAGATATGAGACAATCCTTTTACCTAACTGGATGTTACAGAAGGTTTACAGACAACTAGTTTTCAAGAACAGAAGTAGACTATTCAATTTTAAGAGAAATTCACGTACTCAACAAAAGAAAACACTGGGAACCCAGAGAGAGTAACAGGGCTCCAGTAGGAAGTGGTTCTCCCAGAGTCACCTCCGTGTCAGCAACTTATGAACCCGATTCCCAGCCTTTCCTCTGGGGCCTTAAGAAATGTCAGCAGCAACTACCAGGATTCTGATCTGCAGTTTGAGACCCATTGTGTGATATTAACAGGAAAAAGTCACAGTCTGACTGGGCTTCTTAGCTACCTGTAATCACATCATTTCAGAGTTTGAGGCAGAAAGACCACCATGAGTTCAAGGCTTGTCTGGGATATAAATTCAGTTTCAGGCTAGACTGGAGTACAGAGACAGACCCTCTACAAAGAAAATTAACTAACAAAAAACAAGCAAACAAAAAAATCCAAACACCTTACCTCCACTTCAACACACAAATGTATATAAAAAAGTTAGGATTCTGGGCTGGGTACTAAGTAGCTCAGGTGGTAGAGTATTAGCCTAGCCTGTACAAGGCTTTGAGTTTGAGTTCCTAACATTGTGGAAAGCCAGTAACAGTGAAAAATTAAACACAGTTCTTAAGTGATCATGAAAATTTCAATTAAATAAATTAGTTAATTCTAGTTAATTAAAATTAAATAATCCTTTATTTTTTTAAGATTTATTTATTATGTATACAGTGTTCTGTCTATCTATATGCTTGCTGGCCAGAAGAGGACACCATATCTCATTACAGATGGCTGTGAGCCACCATGTGGTTGCTGGGAATTGAACTCAGGACCTCTGGAAGAGCATTCAGTGTTCTTAACCTCTGAGCCATCTTTCCAGCCCTAAATAATCCTTTAAATGGTAAATTTTAGGCCTCACCTTTACTGCTGTAAAGTGCTAACTCTACCCTAACCATGAGTCTTGGTACTGTTGATCTTGGAAACATGCAATGAAATAGTGACATTTAAAGGCAACATGTCTATTGTTAAGTCTTTGAAGCCTTATGTAGCTTTCACATAATTTAGGGTTGCAAACACATTCCATACAAGCTCAGCAGGTAATCAATTAAGTAGAAATTCAAATGTATGTTTAAGGAAAGCACAAATGCTAAAAGAAATTCAACTTAAAACTAACCAACTTTACCCTCACCAAAAGCAATCATTTGTTTGCTTATGTGTGTGCGCACATGTCCAACTTCTTCTACCCCCTCCCCACTACATGTGCTTGTGCTTTTTTTAAAATTTAATACCTACTGTATACATTTAGTGATATATATATATATATAGAACACGATGGTCTCAAAGGGCCTGAATCTACCTTATATTTTTAGGTAGGGTCTCTTACTGGAGCTCCCTCATTGGGCTAGACTGGGTGACCAGAAACCCCTTCCAGCGATCATCCTGTCTCACCTACCCTGCCAGCTTGGGGGTTACAGCCACATGGGCCCCAATTTCAGGTGGGTGCTAGGTTATCTAGACTTGGTCCTCATGCTTGTGCGGTAAGCATTTTACCTACTGAACCATCTCTCCAGCCCTAGTAGTAATCACACAACTAGATACATAGGAAATAACAATGAATGGATATAATTTTAGCTATATGTTAGTAGGTAGATTTTAACAAGTGCCAAAGTCAAATTATAATTGTATGAGAAGCTCTTGGTACTTGTTTTCTCAGGGGTTCCTAATTATATAGAGCCAATAAATACAAGAATTGAAATAGAAATAATTTCAAGAGTTCAATCATGTGACAGACTCTACTGAACCTTGAACCAATCTTAGCTCTTCAAGAATCCATTTCTCTTACTTTCAGCCTACTTTCAAAAGTTTTCACAAATCTCAGGGTATTTTGACTTCATATCTAAGTACCATATAGCAAACCTACTCTTTCCCTCTGTGAATCTACCATCACGTCACTGCTGCTACGTTTGGAACAGTACCTGGACTCATTCACTGACAAGCTTGCAAGTTTGCACTGTTCAGCATTCACTCGTGTCTTTGTGCTCAAGACCTAAGGGTCCCTGTGCTTTCTGTTTTCTCGATCGCACTCATTTTCTTCCTCGTTTCATAGTTTACATTTGTTTATTATTTACTTGTTCACTGTGCCCCCTCTCCCTTTCGATGGAGTTGGAATCCTCAGTCCTGCATGCCCAGTTTAACTCAATGTCCGGTACGGATGCACCCTACAGTATTATATGTTTAAGCTTCCTCCTTCAACTAAGCATGTAGTACGTTCAGGGCAATCAGCCTTGAAGGGTCAGCTGTGACTTCCCGAATACCTCAGGGCTTCTGTCTTTCTGCCTCTAGAGTTTGTAGTGTGTATATGGGGGTGGGGAGAAGATTTGGCTGAATTACATGTTCTAGGTTAGCACTTTGCCAAGGAACTATACCTCCTACCCAGATACATGCATGAGACATGAATAGTGGGAGGGAGGTCGTCAGTGACCTTTGAAGTGTAGGACTTTTTCCGTTTTGAGCCTCCTTTCTCGTTCTTCCTTTTGCCTTTTCCATCTTCTACTCTATCGCCTTCCTCCTCGCTGCTGGCATCTGCGGTATTTCCACCTTCTCCCTCAGTTTCTGAAGAACTTTGCTGCTGAATTGTCTAAGGGAAAAAAAAATCAGCCAATTACATTTTGAAAAAAAAAAAAAGAACACAAACTGTGGAAACAATCACTATGCTTAAATTTCAAAGACTGGCCTACTTCTAACATTTTCAAAATAAAGAACTATGACAGCCAGGCATAGCGTCACACATCTCTAATTCCAACCGAGGCTGAGGTAGGAGGGTTGCTTGTAGTCAAGAATTTGAAGCTAATCTCAGTAGCATGGGCAATCCTGATTCAATTAATGACCCAAATGACTGTCAGAGTCAATTTTTCAATGGCCACTTAACTTAAACTCTTCTGGGCAAGAGTTGGTACTTAATCAAAAAATGCTGCTATAGCCAAAGAAGAACTCTGACTTCAAATGAATGGAAGGTAAGTACTAACAAGAAGGACATTTTACAAAGAGGCATAAGAGTTAAAAGCAAGGAATAAGAGTACAACAAGAGACTGTGATGCAAACTATTACCTGGTACCCAGTAAATTTCACTCCTGGGTTATTTTCAATTTCCCATAATCCTTCATTAAATCCTTTCCGTTTGTTTGACTTTCCAAACTTGTCTTTGTATTCCTTATATGGGAAAAGGTCTTTAGGACCTAGAAATGCACTGCAGAGATAGATCAGAAATAGAACTGACACGCTGACCTTCAAATACAAGGTACTGTAAATATCAAGATCAAATATGATGTCAGAGCACATTACAATAAAGTTATTTAAAGTATATATAAACCCTCTGGGTTGAACACATATCACAAGATGCTTTAGAAACATATTTCAAGGCAATAAAATGGATATCTGAGTATGTAAAGTCAGCAACTGTGGACTGTCCAATTTTGACCTTATATTAATATTACCAATATACTTCGTTTAAAATTTCTAGTTACACAATATAGAATTAGAGTTATTTACTTTGATTGTGTCAATCATCATTTTAAACTAGTATTTATGTTAATCTTACTGTAGGTAAGGGTTTGTGAGATTTATATTAGGAATTTAAATACTGGAATAAAAATTATTTAATTCTGTATACTACTTTAGAATAGTTAGCCAATATTATTTCTGTAAATTGGTTGAGGGGAAAACAACCCAGAAGTAAGCAAAGTAAACAAAATTATATCTAATTTAAAGTTTTCCTAACTAAATTAATTATAATCAAGAAAAAGTAGTTAAATTTTGTAGCTAACAGACTGGGGCACACTGAACAGAACCTTTAACATCGTGACTTGCGATCTTAATCTAGTGAGTAAAACTACTAAGGCTCACTTTGGCTGACATCTTTGAGACATTTCAAATTAAAGTTTACGTAGCTATTAATATGACAAATACCAGTTAAACACCTATAATGGGTCAGGCATTGTTGCAATGGTATGGGAATAAGGCACAGCAATTGCTGCCTTCAGGAAGCACAGGTGCTGATAGTAGACCAATTAAAATGGCAAACTAAACACACATTTCTTGTATACAAAGAAGGATGGTGTCTTAGGTTCTTTTCCTGTTGCTGTGATAAAACACCCTGACAGAGCAACTTAAGGAAGGAAGGGTTGACCTGGCTTATAGTCGAGGTAACATCCACCACTCTCGGGAAGTCAAGGGTTCTGACGCAGCTAGACACATCACATCCACAGTCAAGAGCAGAGAGCAACGAGTTAACGCATGTGCGCTGAAGCTCAACTCATTCCACTCATACATCAGAATTCATCCTAGGGAATAGTGCTCTCACAGTGGGTGGGTCTTTCCAGTTCAAATAACCAATTAAGAAAACCCCTCACAGATAAATTATTCGTCTAGCTAATTTCTCACTGAAACTCTTTCCCTGGTGAGTCTAGGTTGAGTCGTTTTAGGGATGACTTCTACAATTTCAGCTATAAAGATTGGAGAAGGCATCACCAGAAAGGGAATTTCAAAGTAAAGGAGGTGAAGACACCCTCTGTGCTGTTACCTGTGAAAAAATTATGCGTCTGAGAAACACAGAAGAGGCCAGGGCAGCTAGAGTGAAATGAGCAACAGTAACCAGTATGGACACAGTTAGAGAGGAAACAGGTTAACACAGATTGTTTAGGGCCTTGGAGCTCATTGCAAAGGTATTAAGTAATATGGGAAACCATACAAGGTTCTGAGATGTGTTAAATAGCATCATTTGGCTGTCATGTTGGAAACCAAGTGAAGGTTAGGTACTAGGATGTAAGCAAGAAGTAACAGAAGGCTACTGAAATAAAAAATGATGGCAACTTGGGCCAGGGTGTAGTTGATGAAGAAATGATCAAATTCAGATTTCATTCTTAGGAAAGAAACCTTGGTGGAGAAACTGGACTTGAGGCTACCTTTAAGGGCTCAGGATGATAAATAAGAAAGCTAGAGTTGTTAGTTACCGAAATGTTACGATTTTTCTCTTGCAGGAAAAAATTTGGGATGAAGCATATTGTTAGTTGTAAAACTTGAAGTCCCGGTTAAAACATTTAAAAGAAGATATCAAGTAGGGAGCTAGAAAATATTTTCTGGAGATTAGAGAAAACTATGAGCTAGAGATAGGAATTTAGAAATCAGAAAAAGATGATACTGAAACTTTTCAGTCAACATGCTAGAAGTAATTCATAAATTCCATTTTCTGACTGGGTATAGCCATGATCTCTCCAGATGGTTACAAAATAAACTAACAAATCTATGTATACTAAGTGTGTTGGTACACTTACAATGCACATGGGAGGTGAAGGCAGGAGTCTGAGCCCATTCTGGGCTCTGTGAGACCCTGTCTATCAGAGAGAAGAGTGCAGACCTGGTATTTAGCCATACTCCAGGAAGACCACATGTGGTGGTTTTAAAGGAAATGCCCCCCAAAGGAAGTGGCTCTATTAGGACTTCTTCTTTGTTGGAAGAAGTGTGTCACTATGGAGGCAGGCTTTGAGGTCTCATAAATGTTCAAGCCACACCCAATGTTTCAGACTACTTCTTGTTGCCTTCAAGGTAAGATGCAGGACACTTGGCTACTT